GGAGTACATCTGGCTGAGGATCAGAAGCTGAGCATCTGAAGGCAAGACCGTCCAATTTCACAGTCGTTTACTTCCGGTCTACCCAACCTACTGAGGACCTGGCCCACGTAGACCGCAAAGGCGGGGTCCTCAGGAGGATGCAGCCCATGAATTTGGACACGACTAGAATCATGGTGAAGTTTGAAACCTGGATCCTCCGTAGCCGGTTACCAAGACTACGTGAGGTACCCTACGTGAAGTAACCTAGATCTACTAGATGTTGTGAATACAGCCTACCTCAACCTTACCTACCTCAAGTGCTTACCTACCTCAACTACCAAGGCTAACCAACTGATCTACACCACGGCAACGGTGATCAGTTAGATGCTTGGCTACAAGCTGAACAGCTACAAGAAGCAGTGCAGACCATGGAGAAGGAGACTAGAGACCAAGATCAAGATAGTTGGCTAACCTCCCTCCATGCTATCAGAGGTGCAGAAATGTGCAATGAAGAAGGTGCCTAAGAAGTACAGCAAGCTGTCCATACCTGAGGCCTTGGAAACTGCCAAGAAACGACTCACAGCCTTGGCCAGCCGCTTGAAGATGTACACCAAATAGATTGAAGGCAGGAGAATAAACCAGCTTTTCTCCACAGAACCAGCCAGGGTGTACTCTCAGTGGCAAGGGAATAATATAAGAACAGCACCACCAAGGCTGGAAACCGAGCAATACTGGAAGGACATATGGGAGAAGGATGCCATCCATAACAGCAATACTCAGCGGATAGTGGATCAAAGAGCAGACCACAGAGACCTCCCTGAACAGGGTTCAGTAACCAGCACAGTGGCAGATATCCAAGAAAGGATCTCCAGTATGAAGAGTTGGACAGCACCAGGCCCTGGGATGGTTCATGCCTACTGGCTGAAGAAGCTGACTGCACTTCACGAGCATCTGGCAGTACAAATGAACCAGCTGCTAGTTGATGAGAGACATCCAGAATGGCTAAATGAAGGCCAGACAGTCCTGATTCCCAAGGACCCCCAGAAGGGAAAAGTCCTATAACAGTAAAGAGTCATAAAGTCTGCGGAGAGGATCATAGGAACAAAACTTCCTTCCATGGACTCTCTGTACACACAACGCTGCTGAAAAAGAGCAGAGAGAATTACCAGGGACCCACACCATCTAGTTCACCCTCTGCTCAGACACAAAAAGTGTATATACATCCTTAGACACAACAGAGCTGAGAGCATCATCACACACAGAACAAGGTTTTTCAACAGCTTTTTCCCCGCAACTGTCAGACTGATGGCAAAACACAAACACTGAATATTCAACATAACACTCAACATACAACAGTCAGACTGATGGCATAACATAAAAAAAACACTGAACACTTAAAATAACACAGCACTACCTCACCTCATTTCAATATACAATGGGATAAATCACTGATTAATGTGCAATATACTCACTGAAACAGATCTGTGAAACAGATTTGTGAAAATGTGCAATATTATATGTTCAGTGCTAAGAAGTGTATTACCACCCTCTCTGTACAGTGTGTTTTGTATATAGTAAATACAATGATTGCTCCATTCTTTTCTTTATTTCTATTCTCTTTTTTAGTTGCTTTGTTTTTACTTTGTAAAGAATAATTTGACCTGGAGAGCTATGCACAAGAATTCCAATGTGTATGGACTGTTGGTCCTGTGTGCAAATGGCAAATAAAAATCTTGAATCTTGAATAACAGTACCACATGGAAGCTCCTGTCAGACATCATAGACTGCAAGACTAGACTGACCAACCTGTGCACCTGGATTGACTACAAGAAGGCCTATGATTCAATATCCCACACCTGGATCCTGGAATGCCTAGAACTGTACAAGATCAACAGGACCTGAAGAGCCTTCATCAGGGACTCATGGGGGTGTGGCAAAAAACAATAGAGGCCAACTTCAAGCTGATAGCACAAGTCGCCATCAAGTCCCGTATCTACCCCACTGCTGTTATGCATAGGCCTGAATCCCCTCAGGGAGATCATTAACGAGGCTGGCTACGAATACCGACTACGGAATGAAGCTTGATACAGAATGAAGCTTGCAGCTTAGGAGATTACTTTTATGTCCAGCAGGAAGTCACGTACGCAGAAACACACACACACAGTGCTTAAACTGTTACACTCGCACACTCACTCACGGGTACACGCTAGGGCTGCCACAAACGATTATTTTGATAGTCGACTAGTCACCGATTATTTTTGCGATTAGTCGACTAATCAGATCATCATGGTAATCGAGCTAGTGGGTAACAGACGTCTCCGAAAACGTCGGAGCGCTTTTGAAAATATGTGGTGTCCTGATAAACTGAGCAGATATTTGAGGTTTACACAGCTACATTCTCGCCTGAAAATATGTTAAACGTTTATTTTGTGACCCAGAAAGAATAATAAGAGTAATATTAAAACTAACTAGCTGCCGCCATTGTTGGAAACTGAGCTGGGCCGCGCTATGAATTCTGGGACACAGCTTCTTCTTCGGGGTTTAACGGCAGCTGGCATCCTTGTACATGCAGTGCTGCCATCTTCTGTTTCAGTCCGTTATTACACTCTTAAATCCTGCTACTTATTCCTGCGTCTTTTGCTACTTATTCCTGCGTTATCAAGTCCGTGACGCAGTTTGAATAATTCGTGAGGCAAATGTGGCGCGATCCGAAGATTGTGCGCCTAATTGTCCTAGTTTTGTGAAGTGTGAGTGGACGGCATCTGCTCTGCGTGCTGATCAGGGCGTTGTCCTGAA